CACCATCCACCACGTACATGACGGATACTCATGTGACTCGGCCAATGTTGTTTACTTCATACGCTGCAGGCAAGGGTGCCCCGAGGCATGGTATATTGGTGAGACCATGCAGATGCTACAACAATGGATGAATGGACACCACGCAACAATTGCCAGACAGGAATGTTCCCTCCCAGTCAGGGACCACTTCAGTGGTCAAGGACATTTAGCCTCCAAACTTCAGTAAGCGTCCTCCAAGGTGGCCTTCAAGATACACGACATTGCAGAATTGCTGAGCAGAAACTGATAGCCAAGTTCCGTGTCCATGAAGACGACCTCAACCATGATCTTGGGTCATGCCGCGCTACATGTAATCCCACCATACTGTTCTGTATTTGTAAAATCTTCCTTACTGTCCTGTTTCAATACCATCACTTTGATAACTTATGATCTCTCTACCTTAATTAGTTGGTACAGTTTTGGATTAATTTTTACTTTGGTTAGAGCCTCGGCACATGACTCTTGAACCTATCATGTTATTCTCTCCATTTTGTTTGTCTCTAGCACCACCTTATTTTTATTTTTTTGTAATTATCTCTCTGACTCATTTAATTGGATTATAGGTTATCCCCTTCACTTACTATTCAGCTGTTGACATTTTACTCACACCATCTGACATTTCTGATCACCTGCAGAGACTTCTTATTTGACACTTCACTCACACCATTTGTATGATCTTTTCATGCCTCTGCCCATTGATCTCCCTGCCTATAAATTCTGTGCCTGTATGCTATTCTTCACTCTTGATGACTCAATCGGCAGGGATGTCCTATTTCTTCAGAGACTTGATTTTTGAATGTTTACATTGTCCACCTAGAAGTGTTCCTTCCATGACTGCCATTCGTGTGACAGGATTTGGAGGAACCTGGTACTTCTCCAATGTTTGGAGGTGTCTGCTGTTGGTTGCCCAAGTTTACAAAACATATAAGAGTTTAGGGATCACTGCTGCTGCTAGGTAGTCTCTAGTTTGTGATCATGATAATCAAATAATATTTTCTTGAGTCAGCTAAAGACTAAGCTGAAACATTGAAGACAATGGTGAATTTTGTCATTTATATCTGAAGTCTTCATTAGAAATCATCCAAAACAAAAGGAACAGGTTAGAGTGGTTTTGGTTTTGGATTGAAGATTGTGTAGAGTGGTACTTTCCTGGCTGCTCTGTTAAATAGCTCTGAGTATATGGTAACTTGCCAGAGGAGAGATGCAGTTTTGCAGTGAGGAAAACTGAGACAAGTGTTGGTGCAATAACAGTCTTGACTGACCCCAGTCTTCATTGAGATAGCGTGATTTCATTGGTGAGGATCATAGCTTGTTCATTATTGCAGGGTAGACAGAAGATGGGGACTAAATTCTGAGGGCAGCCAGATATAAGAAGGATACTCCATAAGCTTGAAAACTTCCATGAATCTTAAAGGACCATATACACTGTTTTCTCTAGTTCCTTCCACTTGTCTTGAATTCAAAGAGTGCCCGATCTTGTCTGTCATGCCTCTCGATGGGCATAAACCACAGTGGAACACTGGAAGGAGTTCCTCTTGTGGCAAACAGTAGTTACTGCAATTGGTCTTGTCTCCCTTCTTGAAGATAATCATGAGCACTGGGTTCATGTTGTATCAGCCACCTGCTTTTCTCTTGAGCTGTGGATAAACTTTCTGTCACTGAAAGCTTTGTGCTTGCATTTAATTCTATCCTGTATCTCTCAGTCATTTTGGTGAAACTAGTCACGATGTTTCCTGATAGCAATTGCAACTGCTTGTCATGTTGGACTTTACAGTTGACCAATTTGACAGGCAACCTCGTAGCTTCCAGTGAGTGGATGTTGAGACGTTGACAATAAGGCAGTGACTGAGAACAGCTGCCTTAATAGGATCTTTAAGGCTTTCAACATTAATTTTTTTGCAGCATTGATTCTGTGGCATCCGCTGTTTGGGTGCCAGGCAAATGGAGATGGTTGATCAGTTAAGGTGTTGATTGGTCTTGAAGTGCCTGTCATGTTGTAAGTGAGGTGGACATCTCTATGTTTTGTTTGGCTCGAGTTGAACAGGTGCCAGTGTTTAAACCATGGATATTGCTATGAGGTTTTGTCCTGCTCTTACTGGTGAAACTGACTATTGGTTACAACAAGGTTATGCTCTACATACGTCATCAGGAGGAGAGCTCCATTAGAGTTTGCTTCCCCTACTTCTTTCTTGCTTTTCACCATTGCCAGAGATTTGTGCCTTTCTCGACTATGGCATTGAAATCTCCAAGGAGGATTAGTTTGTCACCTGCTAACATTTGGGCAAGGAATTAGTCAAGACCAGTGTAGAATTCTTCGGTGGTTTCAAGTGTTGGAGCATTTGTACTAACAAGAGTGGCATATTGACTCTTCATGAGGGGGAGGCTCACAGTCATGAGACACGCACCTCAGTGAGTGTCGCCGAGATGTTAAACAAACTTATTTTTGATGGTAGCGTCCACCCCAATATGTTGTTCTGCTTTTTGAAAGTCCTCCCATAGATAGGCATATTTTAATATTTCAGTTGGTCCTCTCCTGTACATCATGTCTCAATTAATAATTCATAATTTAAATAATTGAATATTGTTTAAATGGTGAAAAATTGAGAAATGTGGATGTACAAGAGATCTGGGTGCCATTGTCAAAAAAACAGACAGGCAGATGTAGCAAGCAAGTAGGAAGACAAATGGTATATTGATAACACAGTGTGGAGCTGGAGGAACACAGCAGGCCAGGCAGCATCAGAGGAGCAGGAAAGCTGACGTTTCAGGTTGGGACCCTTCTTCAGAAATGGCGGAGGGGGAAGGGAGCTCTGAAATAAATAGACAGAGGAGGGGTCGGGCTGGGGAAGGTAAGTGGGATGGTGATTCATGAGTGCAGGTAGGCAGTGGTGGGGATTGGTCAGTGGGGTGGGAGGAGTGGATAGGTGGGAGAGAAGACAGACAGGTCAAGGAGGCGGGGATGAGGGGGAAGGTTGGTCATGGGATGAGGCTGAGGGTGGGGAGATTTTGAAACTAGTAAAGTCCACATTGAGACCATTGGGTTGTAGGCTCCCAAGGTGGAATATGAGGTGCTGCTACTCCAGTTTCCGGATGGCGTCATTGTGACACTGGAGGAGGCTGAGGATGGATATGTCGTCCAGGGAGTGGGAGGGGGTGTTGCCTTGCTAACTGGAGACCATCTGAATTCCTAATCTATGCTAGAGTTTCTCTGTTGGAGTGTGATCCTGGAGTCTGTCTCCCTTAGGATGTGATCCTGGGGATCTGTCTCTGTTGGGGTATGATCTTGGAGATCTACTTTATTGAGGTGTGATCCTGCGGGACTGTCTCTGTTGAGGTGTAATTCTCAACTCATCTCTATAAGAGTGTGATCCTGGGGGACTGTCTTTGTTGGCCTGTGACGTTTGTGTCTGTCTCTGTTGTGGGTAACCATGAAGGTGCTGACATTCCAGGTTCCAATTCAGAGGTGCATGGGTGTGATTTCCTGAACATGGGGATGTTATTGCATGCTAACTACCACACCTTCCAGCAGATTGGTGGCTTGGTACAATGCGGGAGTTTTCCAAGGCGACTGGAGGCTCAGATCTGCTGTGAGACATGAGCATGGTCTGTGCACAATCATCATACAGCTGCAAAAACTGGCAAACCAGTCGCCAGGCAGAGGCTGAGCAGGAGACTGAGGTCCCTCAATCATTGGGGAAACTGAACACAGCAAGGTGGGGCCATGTCACAAAAGATCAACAAAATCTCAGTAACTAGGAAGTAGGTCTGTGACTAAATTCCCAAGTGTGGGAACATGATTACAGGCATGGACCTAAGTCCCTGGGACAGATCTCCTTAAAAAAGGATTAGAAGAGTTTTAATGAAGTTTCAATATCATGAGGGGGCTGGAGAGGGAGAAATTGTACCTGTTGGCTGAAGGGTCAAAAGTCAGAAGACACTGATTAAAGGTGAATAGAAAAAAAAACAAAGTTGTAGAATTTTTAATGCAGCATGTTAGGATACAGGGTGCTGGAAGTAGATTAATAGATTCATAGAATCCCTACAGTGCGAAAGAGGCTATTTGACCCACTGTATCCGCACCAACACTCCAAAGAGCATCCCAGCCAGACCCAGCTCCCCACTGTATTCCCATAACCCCACATTTAACTACGGCTAATCCACCTGCACATCCTTAGACACTACAGGGCAACTTAGCATGGCCAATCCAACTCACCTAACCTGCACATCTTTGGACTGTGGGAGGAAACTGGACTACCCGGCAGAAACCCATCCAGACTCAGGGAGAATGTGGAAACTCCACATAGACAGTCATCCAAGGCTGGAATTGAACCCAGTTCCCTGGCACTGTGAGGCATCAATGCTAGCCAGTGCCCCATTGTGGCTGTCAAAGGAGAACTGGATAATTATCATTATAATGGTGACATAAGATTTGGAAATGATTGATGTGAATTCTGGTTTCTCTTCTTTGAACAAGCAATGAAAATGTATCCATAATACATGCCTCATTATCACACTTCGCAGTAATTTCTATTTGTCTGTTCTCTGATCATGGTCTCTCTGTGGTCTGTAACTTCATAGAATCCCTACAGCATGGAAGCAGGCCATTTGGCCCATCAAATCCACACCAACCTTCCAAAACCATCCTGCCCCCATACCTGTAACCCTACATTCCCCATGGCTGATCCACCTAGCCTGCATATCCCTGGACACTATGGGCAATTTAGCATGGCCAAACTGCCTAACCTTTGGACTTTGCAAGGAAACTGGAGCACCTGGAGGAAACCCATGCAGACCCATGATGAGAATATGCAAACTGCACACAGACAGTCATTCAAGGGTGGAATCCAACCAGGGTCCCTGAAACTGAGAGGCAGCAGTGCTAGCTACTGAGCCGCCATGCCGCTCACTTGATTCTCTTAAGGAATTTTAATATCCCTTATTTATGAATTGTTTCTTTTTAGTGAAGAAATCTCCATTTCCAGAAAAGGTAAGAAGACATTTCATTCCGTTATCTGACTGAACACCTCCCTTTGTCTCCCTTTCATTGTTTGTGTGTCTCAGAGGTGAACCTGTTTATTATTGAATTAACATAAGGTATGTTTTGCATTTATAAAGTAAGTTAAGTGCAATGCAGAAAAACATATAACTTCTTTAAAACAGGTTGATTCCTGAACTATTTTTCTAAATAATAAGAACCTTCTCGCTAATATTAACTATGTACAAAGAGTAAATATTTTTTGTTTGCCTTAATGAAAATAGACAATGAAACAATGTGCAGAATTTGGCTACAGACGCTCTAACATAAAGGACCATGAGACTCACTTTCTGTTGTGTCATTAGAGAGCTGGACCCCTAGCTAATTTGATTTCTACCTGTTGCATACATACAACACCAGAAAAATGGGTGAGCCCTCAGTTGACACGGTAGTTTGGAATGGTGGGGACCAGCGGAGGTGAGCGCTATGGTGGGAATATCGTATCCAAGTAAGACATGCCTGGAGCATTCAGCCAATGTGATGCCAGGAATCAAAATTAAAACAAAATCAATTGATTCCAGATCACACTGGGTCAGACTCTGATCCAAAAAAGAAACAAGTCAGCAAAAGCTTAGAAATAGGGAACAAAAAATGAGAAGAGGGACAAGTCACTGATAGTGTCCAATTGATTGTCCCGTATACCTGAGAGCCCTGATGATAATTGGTGTGGCCAATATGAGTGAAATCCAAAGTTACGTGTTGAGGTGGAGGATCCAGGACCACATGATAGCAAAGATATCAAATGTGTGATGATGATGTAAGGCCTCAGAGGTTCAAGTCCCATATTTCAGGAGTTTATCTATTTTGTCTGACTATTTACAAGTCATCAGCTCGTTTTCTGCAAGGTAACTTGCTGTCACTTTGCTGAAGGAAGAATGGTTTAACCCTTTCTGCTTGGGTAGGGAGTTAAAGTTCCTTTTGATTGCCAGAAGTTGCCCAGGTTCCCCTGGCTTTTGCTTATGCTGAGATTTTTGATGATATTGCACGCTCCGGTTATAATTCTAATCACTTGGGAGTGGTGCTCTTCCCTTTCTCCCCCATCTCCCACTACTCAGACTGGAGAGATCTGGGACTCGGAAAGTCCATTATTTTACACTTTCCTTTGTGGGTGCCAGGAGGAGCAGGAGTATCAGTGTCCCACAAGGAAAAGCACTGGAGTAAAATCGACCACCTCTCAAATATTCACCAGCAAGTCTATTTCACAATTGTCCCATCCATCAAACAACAAGAGTTGGAACAGAGAAAAATATAAGGAAGAGAACTCAGTTACTCATATGTACAGCTGAGTAGTTCACAAAGTAAATTTAGTTTGATCAGCACCTTCTGTGTTAAATATTTTATCATATGCATCTAGACTGTCTTCTCATCATCCTTGTGTTTTTCTGTTTCCTCAGCCTGCCATGCCTGGACCACCCAGGTAAGCAATGTTTCAGAACTACCTCTTCACTTGAACTACTCTCTTTTTCTCTTCTGTCTGAGCACTGGTCAACAGGGGTCGATGTGACCTTGAGTATGCAGGTTCGGGTCACTTACTGTAGCTCACACACTCCCGAGGCACAGGTCACCATTTCGCCTTCCAGCTGGAACAAAGCAGAGAAAAGTGCATGAGTCTACCTGACAAACACTTTCTCTTGCAGGAACAGGGGAATGCCATTCAGCCACTTGGAACTGTTCTGTCTTTCAGTTAGGTCATGGCACATCTACAGTTCAGCTCTGTTTACCCACTATTGTTCCATATCCCTTGACACCCTAACCTGACAAAATTCTATCAATTCCAGGCTTGAAAACTTCATTTGATCCAGTACCACATCGGATAGAGTTCCTGATTTCCTACGTTTTGCCTGAGAAAAATGCTTCCGACATCACTCTTTGCTTTATTTTAAAGTCACACCCCTTTCATTCTGATATCCTTCACCTGATGAGAGAGTTTCTCTCCATCTGCCTCATGAGCACCGGAAGAGGAAACATTCCTAGGACTATGGGTGAGGGAGTGGGACTCACTGAGTTGTCCTTACAGAAAGCCAGCAGCATCACAATGGGACAAATCACTGCCTTTTCTGCTTTAACCATTCCAAAATTCCATGAAGATTTTGATCAGATCATCCCTCATTCTGTATACAAGGAATGCAAGCAAAATTTATTCACCCTATCATCAAACATTAACTGCAGAGACCCTGGTGAAATCTGTGCCTGTGAAATCTATAAAGCCCAGCTGTTTTAGTAATTCCTCATAAATCCACTTACTGATGTTCAGAATTAGTCGAAGAATTGAATATCTCCTGTGGTGTCCATGAACATGACGTGTGGTCTGACCAGAACATTGTACGGTTCAAATATGACTTCTTCATACTTCTATTTTCCTCTTTTGTCTAGCTAGTAAACCATTGTTCAATAAGCTAATGCCCGATAATAGCTAATTGACTGTCAACAATCGGAGGTTAATGAAACTTCAAGCTCTCAAATTCATCATCAGTCATTTCAGTATAACATTATTTAAGTTACCCAATATTTTCTTCTTGCATCAAACTTGTCAGTGATCATTGTTCCGTACCTTGTGTCCTTTAATTCATGAACCTCTCCCTGTCTAGTTTGATGCCTTCTGTAAATTTGACTTTTTGTTGCAGCCATTGAAATATACTCATTTACATGAATGGGAATTAGGTGTTTTTACTTCTTATTTAGAATGATCAGTGTGGTTATTTAAGTGAACTACCTTTGGGAGCGGGCGAAACAGTGATTGAGATCACAGTTTATCCAGACTACAAGCCATGAACTCAAATCAGTTCAAGATTATGTTTTCCAATATATTTTCCACCATCTCAAAAATGGAAGCACTGTTGTATATTACATGGAGCCTCCAAAAGACAACTGGATGAGAGAGTAATTGTTAACAGTGGGCTCAGAGCCCACTTCTTGCATAAGATTTTAATCCAGGCTCACAGACTGTGCAATTCTAATGGAGCATTGTACCATTGCAGGTGCTATCTTTCTAATGATGTGGAGGTGCTGGCTTCAACTTGATGACGTGTGATTTCTGAGCTTTCAAATGAGGCATTAAACCAAGACCCCATCTGCCCCTCTCTCTCAGTTAGATATAAAAGATCCCATGGCAATGTTTCAAAAGGAGTAGGAGTGTTAATACCTTGCCATTGTCTCTGTGGGAACTCGCTTTGTGCAAATAGGTTCCCATGTTTCCTACTTTAAAACAGTAACTGCAGTTCAAAAGCTTTTAATTGGCAATGAAGCACTTTGGTGTGAGGTGAGGTTATGAAAGGTGCTACAGAAATTGAACCCTTTATTCAAGAGGAAAAGCAAATAGGATAACCTTGAGACATAGGAGCAGAAATTAGGCCATTCAGCCCATCGAGTCTGCTCCACCATTCAATCATGGCTCATAAGTTTATCAACCTCATTCTCCTGCTTTATCCTTGTAACCATTGATCCCCTTGACAATCAAGAACCTATCTATCTCTGTCTTAAATATACTCAATGACCTGGTCTCCACAGCCTTCTGTGGCAATGAATTCCATAGATTCATCACTGTCTAGCTGAAGAAGCTCCTCCTCATCTGTTCTAAACGGTCTTCTCTTTACTCTAAAGCTGTGCCCTTGTGTCCAAGTCTCTCCTGTTAATGGAAACATCTTCCAGCATCCACTCCATCCAGACCGTTCAGTATTCTGTAAGTTTCAATTAGATCCACCCTCATCCTTCTAAATACCATTGAGTATAGAACCAGCATCCTTAAACGTTCCTCATACGTTAAGCCTTTCGTTCCTGAGATCATTCTTATGAACATCCTCTGGACCCGCACCAGGGCCATTTCATCCTTCCTGAGGTATGGGGCCCAAAATTGCTCACAATACTCTAAATGTGATCTGACCAGAGCCTTATAAAGCCTCAGAAGTACATTCTTGCTTTTACATTCTAGTCCTCTTGAAATAAATACCAACATTGTTTATTTGCCTTCCTAACTACCGACTTAATCTGCAAGTTTACCTTAAGAGAATCCTGGACTAGGACTCCCAAGTCCCTTTGCACTCCACATTTCTGATTTTTCTCCCCATTTAGAAGATAGTCCATGCCACTATAATTCCTACCAAGTGCATGAACTCACTTTCCCACGTTGTATTCCATCTGCCACTTTTTTGCCCACTCTCCTAACTTGTCTAAATCCTTCTGCAGCCTCCCATCTCCTCAATACTACCTGTCCCTCCATCTATCTTTGTATCATCCGCAACAAGGGATACTGACCACTTATCCTAGCTGGTGAATGAGAAGATCAAGTAAACTCAGCCTTAGCACACTTGATATGTTATAAAAAGGAAACCCAACTTCAAGCTGGTAAAAAAATTCATATTCATTTCAATTCTAATATTTATCTTCCTTCGATAAAAAATCTCCTTGGGCTGTCCTATTACTTTAAAAGAAGAGAGGGTGGCATAGTGGTACTGTCACTGGACTAGTTAACCAAAAGCCATAAGTCAATGCTCTGGGCACACAAGTTTAAATCCTACCATGGCAGGAATTTGAATTCAGTTAATAAATCCAGAATATAAGGCTAGTCACACGATGGAGATCATACCAACTGTCAGTCTTGTTGTAAAAACCCATTTGGTTCACTAATGTCCTCAAGGGAAGGATATCTGCCAACTTTGGCTGGTCCTGCCTACATGTGACTCCAGGCCCACAACAATGCGGGGTGACTCTTAAGTCCCCTCTGTAATGGCCTAGCAAAACACTTGGTTTGGGGGTAATTAGGGATGTGTAACAAATGCTAGCCTTGCCAGCGATGCCCACATCCCATGAAAGAATAAAGGGATAAAAAGATGGTAGGGACTATTCTTTAGTCTGTCAGTCTATTAACTGAAAAGATGTTGACAAAGATGTTGCCACACTTTACAAATCATTTTATTTGTCAAACGTATGCAAATATTTTCAACAATGAAGGGATATGCCCAGGATAGCTGAAGCACAAGACATGCTTACAAACTATAAATACATCAGGAATTTAGCAGATTTTGTCCTGAAATACTGAAATACAAAAGAAGTATCAGAGTGGTCTACATGACTAATGTTTTAAGCCCTATATTGTAGATTTGGTCCTAAGACTGTAACTATGAAAGGATTTACTGGACGTTCATACCTTGCCCTGATATAGGCACCCTTCACAATGAGTGTGCTATCCTACTGTAAGGATCATCATTGAAGTGCATCTTCATGGTCTTCATTCACCAACCAAGTGTGGAAATGGTGATCAGATGCAGAAGTCTTCATTGATTGTTATGAGCATTCACTATCTGAGAAACATTAAGATGAGTCTCATCATCTCCAATCACAACCAAATTCAAATCAGCACATATTGGAAGTAATTCTTGGAAATTTCCTGGTCTCTATGACTCAAGAAAAAAAATTGAATTTATAAAGTGTTTTTCTCAGCCTCAGTGAGTTCTAACATTTCGGAAGTACTTTTGAAGTGTGATAACTAAACGTTGCAGACAAACATAGAGATCCCACAGACAGCAATGCAAGAAATAAATTTTTAATCAGCTTTGACTAAGGTCGATAAATGTTATCCAGGAAAACCCCTAGCTTTTTTTTCAAATACTGCTTTATGATCTTTTGCAACCACCTGAATGGGCAGGCAGGGTCTTGCTCTAATATCTCACCCAAATGATGGCATGTCTGACAGTGCTGCACTCCTTCAGTATTGTGATGAAGTATCAGTCAGTTTTGCAATCAAGTCCTGCAATGGAGCTTGAATGACTGAGGTGATACTGAGCCAAGCTAATATCATAATAACTATACTTGGAAATTCTTGTCTCTGTATTTCTTTGATGAATTCTCCTTCACTGCCCAAAAAAAATCAGCTGTTTATTTTCAATATGTATAGGCCTCCTTTTGGCAACAGATCTGACCCATCCCCTAGGATGCCGAAACCAACCGTGCCAGTGGACAGAAATAATTCATCATTGGGTCGGAGGCAAACATCTCCAAGGTATGAGCTCATGGTCATTTCCTGAACCTTAATAGCTCAGGATATTGGTGTGTTGGGGTTTGGGCAGAGTGAGGTGTTATGTGATGGACAATATGTTCTGACAATGCTAGGCATGCAGGTTCCTTTAAGAGTAAATCATGAGTTAACAGAGAACAGATGATGATCATTAGAGTCTCTATTCAAATCTTGGGTTTTATGCCAATGGTTCCTGTGCTTGACTTTAAAGCTTCAACAGTTAGCCTTAGGGGCCTTGGTAGCATAGTTGTTAGTCTGCCTGCCCGCCTGCCCGCCCGCCTGCCTGCCTGCCTGCCTGCCTGCCAGCCATGCCAGGAGACTGGGTTCAAATCCCCAAAAGGGAGGATCTAACATTTTGGTGAGCCCTCTTGTGGTGCAGTGGTCGAACAGATTGATTAGAAAAATAGGTTTTAAAAAATGCTGGGTTTTAGGGGCTCTTGTGGTGCAATGGTAATATCTCTACATCTGTCCCACCTGCTCCAGAGGTTTGTATTAACATCCCTGAACAGACTGATTAGAAAGTATTACATGTAGGGTTTTCCTCCCTCAGCTTTAGTATCAAGTGTACAATTGATTTACTCAGCATATGCATATTCTGTTTATTAAAGCTGTATGGGATGGTATGAGATGGACAAAATGTTAACCATATCGGGTTGTTATTGCAGCAACAATTTCAATGAACTGATTGAAATTGATTTGTCTGTGAGATTGAACTTCCTCTGAGACAAATACAACATTCTAGTTTTGGGAGTGGGTAGAGTGGGAAATTGAATGTACAAATGTGCAGAAAGAGTTCACTGAGACCCTCTCCATCAAATGTGTTGTAACTCTGGCAACAGCAGTAATCACACAATGGAACAGTTTCTCCTATCTGTACTTGGTATAAAGCTCCCTGACTCCATGAAAAACTTATTCACATCTATCCAAATTCTTGTTATCTAATGGATCACTTTCAGTTTATATACTGGTATAGGTGACAATTCAATATTGGTGGGTTTGCATTACCAGGGAGTAGATGCTATGTCTCTAAGGTTTTGGAGTAGATTTGTAGCTCGGGTTGTGGGTGTTGAGGTTGGTTGGCTCGCCAAGCTGGTTTGTTGTTCCGCAGACGTTTTGTTACCATGCTTGGTAACATCCTCAGTGCAGCCTCTGATGAAGCGTCGGTGTGTTTTCCCGCCTGGCTTTTAAACTCTGGGGTCCGTTGCGATGGATTGCCTCACTTCCGGGTTTCCTCTGTAGTGGAAGGTATATGGGGTCGAGTTCAATGTGTTTATTAATAGCCTGCTTCGTGGAGTGCCATGCTTCCAGGAATTCTCATGCTTGTCTCTGCCTAGCCTGTCCCAGGATCTTGGTGTTGTCCCAGTCGAAGTCGTGGTTCTCCTTGTCCATGTGAATTGAGATGAGTGAGTATTGGTTGTGTCTTTTTGTAGCCAGTTGGTGTTCATGAACTCTTGTTGTTAGTTTCCTTCCTGTTTGTCCGATGTAGTGTTTCTCGCAGTCTCTGCAGGGGATCTTGTAGATGACATTGGTCCTGTCCATGGCGGGGAGTGGGTCTTTAGTTCGGGTGAGCACTTGTCATAGGGTTGATGCGGGTTTGTGTGCCACTCTGATGCCCAGCGATCGTAGAAGTCTTGTGGTGAGTTCTGACGTGTTTCTGATGTAGGGTAGTGTGATAAGTGTGTCGGGGCATATAGAATCTTTGTGATGCTGTTCCTGTAGGCATCTCCTGACCCAGTTCTTTGGATCGCCTATCTCCGGACTCGTAGCAGAAGCAGTGATGCAAAGACTGGAAAGGACTGCCCTTCCGCAAATCCAACCTAAACTATGGATACGCTACGTAGACGACACCTTTGTCATCATTAAACGGACCAAATTAGAAGAGACACACAAACTCCAACAACACCCTCACCAGAATAAAATTCACCAGAGAGGAGGAGAAGAACAAACAACTCCCATTCCTGGACGTCATGGTAGAGCGCAAGACAAATGGGGAACTGCAAACGAAAGTACACCGAAAAGCCACACACAGACCAAGTATTGAACTTCAATAGTAACCATCCCAGCACACACAAATGAAGCTGCATGCAAACACTATTTAAAAGGGCAACAACACACTGCAGCAACATGGAACTATGCCAAGAGGAGGAGGAAGAATACCTCTTCCAAGTGTTCAAGGATAATGGATATCCAAAGAACTGGGTCAGGAGATGCCTACAGGAACAGCATCACAAAGATTCTACATGCCCCGACACACTCATCACACTATCCTACATCAGGAACACGTCAGAACTCACCACAAGACTTCTACGACCGCTGGGCATCAGAGTGGCACACAAACCCACATCAACCCTATGACAAGTGCTCACCCGAACTAAAGACCCACTCCCCGCCATGGACAGGACCAATGTCATCTACAAGATCCCCTGCAGAGACTGCGAGAAACACTACATCGGACAAACAGGAAGGAAACTAACAACAAGAGTTCATGAACACCAACTGGCTACAAAAAGACACAACCAATACTCACTCATCTCAATTCACATGGACAAGGAGAACCACGACTTCGACTGGGACAACACCAAGATCCTGGGACAGGCTAGGCAGAGACAAGCATGAGAATTCCTGGAAGCATGGCACTCCACGAAGCAGGCTATTAATAAACACATTGAACTCGATCCCATATACCTTCCACTACGGAGGAAACCCGGAAGTGAGGCAATCCATCGCAACGGACCCCAGAGTTTAAAAGCCAGGCGGGAAAACACACCGCTTCATCAGAGGCTGCACTGAGGATGTTACCAAGCACGGTAACAAAACGTCTGCGGAACAACAAACCAGCTCGTAGATGCTATGTGTTTGTGTAAGACATCAAATAGCAATTCACCAGATTGAGTTAGATCATTTCTATCAATAGAAATACTAAATAGATGTTAAACAGGATATTGATTTCAATAACACCTAGTTTACATTATTGCGCATTCACATTAATCTACATGAGCATATGCTACTGGTGCAACAGTTTCATTAATACGTATCATTCGCCAGGCTGGTGTTTATCGCACACTCCTAATCACCCTTAAACTGAGTAAGTAGTGATGACAGTTAAGAGTCGACCACATACATGACTAATAAGAAGTATTAAAAACATTAGTATTGTGATCTTGCAGTGTGGATTGCACTGACTATTAATTGGGTTAAAACAATTAAACCATGTCTTCAGTGATTTCAACCAGCTACCATTGAGTCAAAGCTGGATAAAGTGAAAACTCAGACACCACTGGTGAAAAAAAAATCTATTTTGAAGCATCCCCTTTCAGAGAAGTAATTTCAATCTAATTGAAAGAAATATTCATATTTGTTTTTTTGTTTATCAGACCAAGTATACCGGACAGAAGACTTGATGTAAGTGTAGACGAAAAGTGTTTATTGTTTACTGGAAGAAATTCAAATCATCTTATTATGTCTGATTCTACATTTTATTTTGCTATTTGTGGAAGTTGGATTTCAAGAATGTTCTCTGACAACACACTTCTCTTTTCATTCTTAGGATGAAGAAGATAGTAAGTAAACAATTATCAGATAAGTCTCTTTATTACTTCTGCCTGTATTTGTGCTGAGGTATACTTTTACTTTCTTTATAAGAACAAAATTGCAGGATCTCAAATATAAAATATCAAAAATGTGAAACTCCTAGCTCTTTGCTACAAGCTTCAGTGTTATCAACTTTCAGAAAACCTTCTCAGTATAATGCCATGTGATAGATCAGAACAAGAGCAGTGTTAACATACTTCTGAGCTGGCTTTTGCAATAAGCTTTCAGAAAGTGTATCAAAAGGTTGCCAATTGGAGAGTTGCAAGAAAAACTCACAATTTTTTTGAAAATCAAAGAAATGCACATAAGTAGGCTAATATTCTTCCCCAAATCTCCTATCCTAAATGGAAAGACAATCCTTTATTTTCAGGCTGGCCACAAAAGATAAGGCCTTAAAAGGCTGTAAGGTCAAGGCAAGAATTATTTGGCCATATATGTATATATGTATTGAGTGCCTTAATATCAGTCAGAGAAAGCTGCAGAAACAGAAGGCTTCACAAGGAGTTTAAGGAGCTCAGGTTAAAAAATATGCGAACTGTGTTAGCAGTTTGTTTAAGGGTCTCTTAAAGGGACATTACCTAAAGAAATCGCATCAAGGCGAAAGTAAAGGTTTGCCAGAAGGAAACCAAGTACAGCCATGCCAACTGAACAAGGAACTTTAAAGTGGAAATAGTAAAGTGTTGAGGATAAAAAGATTGAAACTTTATTTCTGATAAGACCATTCCAAACAGTTCTTATGTGGTGCAAAGCAGTTTGCATTTTTTTTGCCTTGTATGTGTAATAAACTTTGTTCTTTTGTTAAAAGTGCTTTGAAAGCTTCTGAAGAATATGTTCAGTAACTGACTATCAGGAAACAAATTATAAAGATTAAACTTCAGGTCTATCCAGCCAGGTTTCATCCTGACATCATAACATCGTCCATGATCTAAATTAAAGACAGAACAGGCTTGAGGTGGTGAATGGAATCTTGTTCCTATATCATAGAATCCCTACAGTGTGGAAACAGGCCCTCTAGCCCAACCAGTCCACACCGAACCTCAAAGCATCCCATCCAGCTATAACCCACCTAATCTACACGTCCCTGAACACTACAGGCAATTTAGCATGGCCAATCCACCTAGCATGCGCATCTTTGGACTGTGGGAGGAAACCGGAGCACCCGGAGGAAACCCATTAAGACACGGGGAGAATGTGCAAACTCTGCACAGACAGTCGCCCGAGGGTGGAATTCAACCCGGGTCCCTGGTGCTGTGAGGCAGCAGTGCTGCCCCAATCTTCTTAGTTTTATTTTTGTCTTATTCATTGATTTTAAAAAAAACATTGATATTCCTCTTATCAGACAATAAAAATGATTCCAATTGTGGTCTTGATTCCATATCATTGCTGCACCAACTATTTAACAAATTTAGGAGATTAGGAGCTGAGTCCTCAACCAAGGTACTTGCATATCTTTTTAAGAGCAACCAATCCGAGGCTGATGCCCAGAACGTGGACTTATTTACGTGATGTTACACTTTTGTCAGAAACAATTTGTACCAAAGTACTGTTGTATGTGGTTAGTCTGGCAACTCATTCTCCCTAGTCATTTGAAAGTATAATTCTGAGAGAGTTCTTCAGTGAAAACAGACATAGAGTAATTACTTAGCTTCACTACCATTTCTCTATTCCTAAATATACATTCTTCTGACTCTACCTGTGATGGACCCACATTTGTCTTAGCTAAATATTTCCTCTTTAGGTACCTATAGAAAGTTTCCCTTTCTTTATCATGTTCTTAGCCCTCCTTTTCTGCATATTATGTATCCTTTACTGTATGATACTTAGGTCTGTGCATTTGACACTGAGAAATAGTTTCTTCCGTAGATCCTGATATTCTCAACCACCCCGCAGACAAATGAACCCATACTATACAATTTGTGATACCCATATGGCCCTGGTGTACTCTTTCTGAGATCGCTGGCTGGAGTGAGACCAGAATCGCAAGTCTTTCCTTGTCACCAACAAACTATCACAATAGTAAGAGATAACAAGATGTAGAGCTGGATGAACACAGCAGACCAAGCAGCATCAGAGGAGCAGGAAGGCTAACATTTCGGGCCTAGACCCTTCTTCAGAAAAAATATTTTTTGTGTCTCAGGGATTGTCTGACATTGACAATGGATACAGTCATAGAATGAGCCTCTCACAGTCACATAGGCTTGCAGAGAGTTCTCAGATTATATGATTGGCTTAAAAGTCAGCATAGAGACAACCACAAACCCTGAGTTTCTTTACTTGATGAGAAGGACCTCTCTAGAATGTCCCTGAGAATGTAGATGTTCTGGTTAACATTGATGTGTTTCACTTACAAAATGATATATGGCCAGGGAAAGCTGCAAATGACAGTGTATGCATTGTCTAGAACCACGCTGACCATTGTGCACAACAGGAAATCAACCTCATTCAGCACGCTAGGTTGGAAACAGCAATGCCCCAGTGGTATGAAGATACAGGACTTGCTTATGCGCACAAACCACTTTACTATTGTGGGTGCCCGATACCTAACATTGTAGATGAAGTTTTGGCTGCAATTCTTGTCAGTGGTAAGGGGTTATAATGAAACTGCTGAAAGCAGCATCTCCTTGATCTTTTGAAATGCCTTTTCCAGATGTGCATTCTAACATAATGCTGGAGATTTTTTTGATTGTTATATTGATAGTTCAGTAACTTGGGCTCGATTGGTTTGAAATTTTTGCAGTCTTTTGAGGATCTGCCATTATGGCCTTGCAACTAACAAGGTGCCCTTGAAAATGAATGAACATTTTGAAGAATTCACACTTTTTACTAAGTTTTGGGCCTTGTATAGCGTAGTTCAAAATCACACTAATCCTCGGGTCATGTTCTTCAACAGATTAACTGTGGATTAGGATATTATCTATTTGATATATCATTCCTTTAAAGCCTTATAAAATGTTCAACATTGTTCTCTGGAAATAACGCAGCACCAATATTATACTGTACAGCAAACACTTAAAACAAAATTTCCTGAACAGAACAAGGAAATTATCAGTAATTTTGACTTCTCATCCAAACACCCTGCCAAAAGTTACTGTTTTCATCCAATTTTGTGAATGCAGCACTTTTGGACAATTTCACCAAACTTGTGGTCACCAATGCCAATTTCACCAATTTTTGGATCAGGTGAATTTCTCTAGCTGTGGCCTTACATTGACGTAAGTTGACAGATGTGAAGAATTCAGTCAGGTTTAAGAACCAAAAGCAGTTCAGAGCATTTCTGTGTAGACTTAATGATAAGAAAGATAATTCTCATCTTAGTCATTTCTTCCAGCTGAATTTGGACCTGTTTTATAAGTGGGGACAGTATCTTTCTAGTTGTGAATAGACAGTACAGGTTAGATATCACTTCACAAAATAGTGCTACATTTAGCCTTAAGTCTTCTCAGATAAGTAAATAGTTTCACAAGGTCATTTCTGAAGCAATTCCTGAACTCATGCTGATTAACTTACTTTACTATACTAAAGAGTTTGAGGTCTGTACAATCTCTTCCACTTAAAGAAGAGAATTCCTGATTTTGCATACCATAGAACGTCTACAATAACAGATTTCCTGTCCACTGGGGTGTTGCCTGTAATTTTCTTCTGACTTTTAGTATGATTCCTCCTGGATTCTGTGGTTGAATTTCTGTTGAGAGAAGATGGTTGTCCTTGAGCATGAATCACCGAAAATTAGTATGAAGGGTCAGCTCATAATAGGGAAGGCAAATGGAATTTTGGTATTTGTTTCTAAAGGAATAGAGTAAAAAGGTAGGGAAGTGTTGCTGCAACTGTATGAAGCACACACCTGGAGCACGCATGCAATATTGGTTCTCTTAATTGAGAAGGGATGTAGTTGCATTGATGGTAGTTCAGAGGAGCTTCACTAGATTGATTCTAGAGATCAGGGATTATCTTATGAAGAGAGATTGAGCAGTTCAGGTCTATACTCGCTAGAATTTAAAATAAGAGAAAATCTAATTGAGGCATGCAAGATATTAAAGGGGATTGACCAAGTTGATGTAGAGCAGATATTTCCTCATGCGGGACAATCTAGAATGAGATTTAGGTTAAGGGGTAGTTGAAATAAATCAGATTTGAGGAGAAATTATTTCTTTCAAAGCGTTGTGAATCTGCGGAATTCACTACCCCAGAGTGAAGTGGATGCCAGGATATGAGTAAATTTAAGGAGGACATCGACAGATTTTTAATTAGTAAAGGCTTGAAGGGTTATGGAGAGTGGGCAGGTAAATTGAGGCCAGTATGGTGGAGCAGGCTTGAGGGACTAAATTTCCTACTCCTGATCCTAGTTCATATTTATATACTTTCATATGATAGCTGCAGGCAATATATTGGCAGTTACATTTCATTGACTGATGAGACAGTTATACTGATTCCAGTACCTAGATTAAAGTTCCTGAAATGTCTGTAAACACACATATCTGTATTCCAGAGTGCATGGTTGGGGTCACTGATCTTATCAAGGAAATATTTTTGTTAGTCTTCTGACAGAGATTCTTCATTATGTGTGAAGACTTTGTTTTGAAAATGTGTAAGTAAACGTTTTAATTGAGCACATCTTTCTCAAATGGCCAATTTTCCTGCAGAGAATGCATTCTTCAATGTTTATAGGATAGTATTTTCCCCCAATAAGTCATTTTGATGCTACAGTGCTGGGAAGCTTTGTAGCACCTTACACTTTCCCTCCCAGTTGTGCTTTCCCTTCGTTTGGAAGTGTATGGTCACTGGACGTTTTTCTTCACCTCGTAGTATTACTCTTATTCTTTATATGGACTTTTGTTTCTAAGGTTTTGGAGTAGATTTGTAGCTCGGTTGTGGGTGTTGATGTTGACAGACCCTTCAAGACAAGCTAGCCACACTTACCCACAAACACGACAACAACAGACAGACACATGGATAAGAAACCTCTCCGACA